TCCCTCCTTCCCTCCTTCCCTCCTTCCCTCCTTCCCTCCTTCCCTCCCTCCTTCCTTCCTTCCTTCCTTCCTTCCTTCGTTCCTTCCTTCCTTCCTTCCCCAGGATTCACAGCTGGGCTCCTCTCGCTGTGTTGGAGGGAGATGGTTCATGTGAGCACTGTGTTTCACAAGGCAGTGGGGCAAGGCACCGAGGCTGTGTGGCATGGCATTGCAGGGTGGCCACTGGTCTCCAAGGTGGGAGACCTGGCTCTCTTCTCCCTGCCATGCTGACTTCATGTTTATGGCTAAAAAGCCTCTCCCAGGGAGCAGCTGAGCTGCAGGGGCACTCCTGGAGCATCCAGGAGAGCAATGCAGCCCCTTGCTGGTGGAAAACCTGAGACCCCCAAGGAGAAAGTGAAGAAAACTCTCTCTGCATACAGACCCCTACCCATTTTCCCATTCTGGGTTGAATATCCTCCCTCACAGATGTGCTCATCAGTCTTGGAAATCCTCATTGCTATTTAAAATATCTGTGTTGCTTCTGATGATAGATGATTGATTTATAAAACGGTTTAGCTCTCTTTATAATAGGATATTACACAGGCATCAAAAACAATAATGTACGGGACTTAAGGATATGAGGAGATGTTCAAGCTGTGTTGTGTGAAAAGAAGAAAAGATTTCAGGATACAGCATATGTTCCCATTTTTTAACAAAAATGTGGATCTACATATATAATGTGTGCTATACATAAGAAAAAAGCCTGGAAAACTTGCACGAAATGGTCACACTGTTTTTCAGTGATGATAGGATAAAGGGCAATTTTTAAAATTTCTATTCTTTTCCAGATTGTTTCTAACAATACGTGTGTCTTTTGGAGTCAGATTTTAAAAATAAACATTATTTTTAAAAGGAAACAAACAAAACCAAACAGAAGGGAGGCTGGGTTTCTTGGGGATTTCGGGAGTGCCTGTCTCTCCATGACCTGGGGAGTGCTCTTCTGAGAGGACCGAGGGCTGGGGAGGCAGAGAGGGCAATGGCAGGCCACCAGCATTGAGAAAGCCTCAAGGCCACTTTGAGAAGGACACCACGCCCTGGAGCACAGGCTGAGCCCTGGATTCCCGACATTGGAGGCCTTTGGGAGTGTCAGAATGAGCAGTCCCTGTCCTGGAGGGGCCTGCCTTTCTACCACGGAGGCTAGCACCACGACAGCCACAGTGAGCCACCCCACCTGCCCGGCTTCTCATGTGTCAAGCACTGTGTTCAGTGCCTTCACAGGTAACTTCAGTAAGTCACCGTAGGCATGCTGCAACTAACCTGGTACTGGTGATATTCTGTTGGTTTTAAATGGGGAAACTGAGGCTCAGAAAGGTTCAGTGTTTTGCTGGAGGTCACAAAGCCAGGCAAGGGCAGAGCCAAGATTTCAACTTCGATCTGTCTGGCTCTGATGACTTCCTTATCTTGTGGCAGCATCTCCAGAGATCATGGGTCAGCCTCTTCTTGCCAGAGGCCTTGTGTATGTGTGTGTGTGTGTGTGTGCGTGCGCACGCACGTGCACCTAGACACATACACACTGAGTGACAGAGGGACAAAAACAGTTAGTGGGCACTCTCACAGGCCCTGTGCTGGAAATTCATCATCTTCCAGCAAACCCTGCAAAATAGGTTCTAATGGTGTTTCCGTTTACCCCTAACATTGCGTGGTGGCACAAAGTGCCACTGGCTGCCCAGGGTGACCTGGGATTCCAGCTCAGGTTTCTCTGACACTGATCCTGACCCTAGTGTGCTTCTGCACAATCTAGCTTCTCTGGCTACTGGTATTCTGCAGGTCTAGGACAGGTGAGGCAAACTAGGGCCGAATACTGCCCTCTGCCTGCCTTTGCATGGTCGCCGAGCTGAGAATGATTCCTACCTTTATTAAAGGGTTGCAAAAACAAAGTCAAAGACTATGTGACAGAAACATACGTGGCTGGGCAAAGCCTAACATACTTACTTCCTGGCCTTTTAGAGAAAAAGTTTGACGACTCCTAGCTTAGGGTCCTGAGGTCCAAGAAGGGACTCCTGGTCCTGCACATTTGGTGGTCTCAATGCTGCATGGTTGTGGACTCAAAGCACTGGGGTGGTGGGCTTTTTAAAAATGAGCTGTAAAAGGTCTGCCACACTTAGGACACTGCTACATAGGGAGGTCGACTCTCTTTCCCACTTATATTTTGGGGGGATATCTGTGCCCAGGGAAAAACTCAGTGATCCCTGTTACATTTCTAGGGTGAAGGGCTTTTATCTCAGCATGAGGTCAAGTGCACCTACGTGTGGGTGACAATGAACTTCAACATCTAGCATGATTCCCCTGCAAATTGGAAGGCACCAGTGCCACCCCAGGCACCAGCCTTGAGTGTCAGGCACAGCGCCAGGCGCCCGGGAAGAAAGCACGGTCCCTGCGGACCTCACACAGCCCAGTCTGGGGAAGCAGGGAAACCCCTCTTGGGTAACCGAGTTGGAGGAAGGGGCTATGAGAATGGGAGGAGGGGTAGGGAGGACGACCAGGAAATGCAGGCAGTGACACCTGCGCTGCGTCCTGGGAGAGGAGGCTTTACACGGACCTCGGGGAAGGGCCATGGGGAAGGTGGTGCTGGCCAGGCGCGGCGGCGGGAGCGGCCTGGGCAAAGGGGCCCAGAGGGGCGGCGGAGCGCGGAGCGGGGCTGTAGGTGTCAGCAGAGGCGCGGCTTTGGGTCGGCACGACCCGCCCCTCGGCCCGCGCGGCCATTGTCTGCGCCCGGCGCCGCCTTGGCAGCAGAAGGTGACATCTGGTGACTAATGGCCGCGGCTGCGCGCCGCGCTCTTCCCTCCCGCAGCGCCCGGGGCGCAGCTGCCGCGCCCCTTCCTCCCCCTTCTTCTCTCCCTCCCTCCTCTCCGCTCGGTGGGCCAGCGCGGGGGCGCGGGGCGGACAGGATCGATGCCCTGGTTTCCGAGGGGCCGAGGCCGCCGCCTCCAGCTGGCTGGGCCGCCCCGCCCCACAGGCGCGCATGCGCGTCCTCCTGCGCGCTCCCGTGGCCGCCAGCCCGCGAGGACGCGGCTCCCCGCCAGGGGCAGTGCAGGAAACAGCCCTGCCCCGCTGCCCCTG